TGCATTCTTCATCTGTTTCTTATTTAACTCTTTTACCTCTGAGGAGCTGGTCTCATTGACATCTTTTATTCTTTTCTCAAACCCAGTGAGTATCCTTAAGATTGATGCGCTAAATTCTCCATCAGGCATGTTATTTATATATGTTTCACTTAGTCTCTGGCCATGGCCTTATCTTATTCTTTCATTTGGGACAAATTCCTCCATCCTGGCGTTTTGTAGAAATCTCTGCCTTCTTCTCTGTGTTAGAAAAGCCAGTTATATCTCCTGTTCCTGAAAGTAATGGTCTTATGAAGAAGAGGTCATATAGTGGCCAGGGCCTGGTGCTTCAGAGAGTGTCTCTGGTATATGCTGCGTGCATTCTGCTGTTGTGTTTTGGCTGCTCTATCCTTCAGGCTACTCACCTACAGAGGTTCTCCTTGCCTGCTGTGGGCAGTGTTGGGTCTCTGGCCTCAATGTGGCGAGTTTTAACTAAGTGTGCTCTGGTCTGCTTGTTAAACGAGACCTGATGCTACTTCCACTAGAACTGAGGCCTTGAAGAACTCTCTGGTTGGAAGATATGATTTGTGCTGGTCTTCTGGGAGAGGGGCCCACCACACTGGGACTGAAACAAGCCAGACTAAGAAGGGCAGTCCTACCACAGCGCTGGAGGAGCTGGGGCTTGGTGTAAGCAAGTTAGCCAGCCAGTGTCAGCACTGCACTGCTTCCTACCAGTGGCTCTGTGTTTATGCTCTGTTTATGAGGGGTGGGGGAGGTAAATGGCACCAACCAGCTCCCCTGTCCCTGGAGATGCATCTCTGTGTACGTTATCTCCCAGAGACACTCTCCGAGACAAATGAATAATCTCCCCACTGTGTGACCTAAGTGTTCTTCAGATTGCTCTTTCCACACTGTCTGCCCCCAGATGTTTGCCTGCCTTCTCTCCAGGAGCAGGGCAGTGCCCTCCTGGCTCTATCCCAGCCAAGCCCACTGAACTTTAAAACTCCAGACTTTAAGCCCTACTGGTTGCAATAATTCACTCAATTCCACCCCTCTCATTTTCCAAACCAATGGCTTTGGGGAACTGTTCTCCATGTGTTCTCTTCTCTCTCTTGTCCTTCTCCATGACCACTGCTCCCTCTCCTCTAAAGCACTGGTGATCCATTTCACCCTTAAACCACGTCTCTGCACTTCCTACCTTCTTCAAAGTGGTCTCTTCTCTCCCTTTAGTTGTAGAGTTTGTTCTATCAGTCTTCAGGCCAATTTCTGGCAGTATTTAGGATGATTTTATAATTATCTAGTTGCGTTCGTGGGACGAGAAAAGCCTAGGGTCCTCCTCCTCCACCACCATCTTTGATCCTCCTCAGTAATATTTTTGTGAAGAGTCACAGTACTCCATTAAAAACAGAAACTCTTATCTTTTAAACAGATATGAGCTTCAGGTGTAAGACAGTGATTTGAGAATTACATGTATTACAAAAGCTCACCACAATAAGTGTGGTTTATCACTTACTGTAATTACACACACACACACACACACTCACATTGTTTTGTTTTAATTCCAGCATAGTTTATTGTATTATATTAATTCTATGTGTACAATTTAGTGATTCAACAATTCTATACATTACTCAGTGGTCATCATGGTAAGTGTACTCTTTAATCCCCATTACCTATTTCACCCATCCCCCTATGTTCCCTCTAGTAACTATCAATTTGTTCTCTATAGCTAAGAGTCTGTTTCTTGGTTTGTCTCCTTCTTTTTTCCTTTGTCCATCTGTTTTGTTTCTTAAATTCTACATATGACTGAAATCATATGGTGTTTGTCTTTCTCTGACTTATTTTGCTTAGTATTATACTCTCTAGCTCCAGCCATGTTGTTGCAAATGGCAAGACTTCATTCTTTTCAATGGCTGAATGATATTCCATTATGTGATATATCTATATTTGTATCTCATACCATTTTTATCCATTAATCCATTGATGAACACTTGGTGTGCCTTTATATTTAAAGTGTTTCTTACAGGCGTGTCTGGGTGGCTCAGTCGGTTGAGCATCCGACTCTCAATTTTGGCTCAGGTCATGATCTCATGGTCATGAGACTGAGCTCCATGTCGGGCTCTGCACTGTCAGCCTGGAGACTTCTTGGGATTCTCTCTGTCCTCCTCTCTGCCCTGCCCCTGCTCATGCTCACTCATTCAAAATTAATAAACTTAAAAAAATAAAGTGCCTCTTATATGCAGCACATAGTTGAGCCGTGCTATTTTATCCAGTTTAACAATTGCTAACTTTTAACTGGAGTATATGGCTTACTTGTATTTAATGTACTTTTTGATTTGATTCATTTTGTCTACCATCTTGATATTTATCTTCCATTTGTCTTGTACTTTGTTCCTGCTTTCATGACTAATTTTTGATAAAGCAATATCATTCAATTTCCTTTAGTGTGTGGATTCAGCTGTGGCTCACAGCTGCGTATCTTTTTTTAACGTTTGCTCTAGTGTTTATAAAGTGCATCTTTAACTTATCACAAACTTAATTTCCTCATATGTTTTGCATTTATAGTTATATATATTACTTCTTACACTAAGTATCCAATACATTGCTATTATTTTTGCTTTATGCGGGCATAATCTTTTGATCGTATGTTTTAATCATTTACTCTTACATTTACCTTCCTAGTGTAATTCACTCCTTCCTTCAGATCTAAGCTTCTTTTATTATCACTTCCCTTCATCACTGAAATACTTCTTTTAATGTTTCTTATTACATAGGTCTGCTATAGACAAATTGTCTTTGGTTTTGTCTCCCAGAAAATACCTTTATTTTTATTGCATTTTAAAGACATTTTCCTAAATATGGAATTCCAAGTGAGCATGTGTGCCTTAAAAAAAAAAAAATCACTTTAAAAAGTTATACCATTGTCCTCTGGTCTGCATTTTTTCTGAAAAGATGTCAGCTATCATTCATATTATTGCTTCCATTTATGTATTATTTCTTTTCTACCTTTATAAAAATCTCTGGTTTTTAACAACTTGACTATGACTTGCCTAAGTTTAGATTTCTTTGTATTTATCTTGCTTGGGGTTTGCTGACTGTGTCCGGTCTACTATTACGGCCATCAAATGAATACTGTAACTGACACATTTTTCATTTTGGTTCTTTTTATAGTTTTCCATTTTCCTGCTAATATCTTCTGTTCATGTTCAACATCTGGACCTTCACTGACTTTGTTTCTCTTATCTCTTCTCCTGATATTTTGTTTCTCTGCATGTCCATAATGTTATTTCATGTCAGATATTGTATGTAAAAAACAGTAATTTACAAAGTTCAATGAAACTAAGAGCTGTTTCCTTGATTTAAAATATTTTTTAAATGTTTATTTATTTTTGAGAGAGAGAGACAGAGTGCAAGCAGGGGAGGGATGGAGAGAGAGGAAGACACAGATTCTGAAGCAGGCTCCAGGCTCTAGCTGTCAGCACTGAGCCTGACGTGGGGCTCAAACCTACGAACCATGAGATCATGACCTGAGCTACGTTGGACACTTAACCAACTGAGCCACCCAGGCGCCCCAAGAGCTGTTTCTTTGAAAATATAAGTTAACCTCTAACCAAGCTCATCATCAGGAAAAAAAAGAGATGCAAATATAATCACAAATGAAAGAGATGTTACAATGGATACCACAGAAATACAAAGAAATATGAGATTACTAACAACTATATGCCAACAAACTGGACAACATAAAACAAATGATAAAATCCTAGACATATGCAACCTACCAAGACTGAATCACAAAGATACAGAAAATCTGAACAGACTCCCTACTAGTTAGGAGATTAAATCAGACAACTCCCAACAAACAAAAACTCCAGATCAGATGGCTTCATTGGTGGATTCTATCAAAACGGAAATAATTAATATCAATCCTTCTCAAGTTCTGCCAAAAAATAGAAAAGTGAACATTTCCAAGCTCATTTTACAAAGCAGCATTACCCTGATACCAAAACCAGACAAGGATGCCACAAGAAAATTACAAGCCAATATCCCTGATGAACGTAAATGCAAAAATCCCCAACAAACTGCATTCACTAATACATTAAAAGGATCATACACCACAATCAAGTAGGATTTCAGGGATGCAACACCCACAAATCAATGTGAGAAGTCACATTAACAAAATGAACGATAATTATCATATGATCTAAAAAGGTACAGAAAAAGCACCTGAAAAAACTAACATCCATTTATGATAAAAGCTCTCAAAAGAGTGGGTACAGAAGAAATGTACCTCAACATGATAAAGGCCATGTATGACAAGCCCACAGCCAGTATCACTCTCAACGGTGAAAAACTGAAGGCTTTTCCTCTGAGAAACAAGACAGATGCCCACTCTCACCACTTTTATTCAACACAGTATTGGAAGTCCTAGCCAGAGTGATTAAGCAAGAAAAAGAAATAAAAAGAATCCAAATTGGAAAGGAAGAAGTAAAACTCACTATTTGCCGAGGACATGATATATACAGAAAACCCTAAAGACCTGACCAAAAACCTGTTAGAACTAATAAATTCAGTAAAGTTGCAGGATATAAAATCAATATATAGAAATCTGCTGTGTTTCTGTGTACTAATAATAAACAGTTAAGAGAAATTAAGAAAACAATCCCATTTGCAATTTCAAATGCTTGAGAAGATGGCAAAGTAGGAGGAACCCGAGCTGACCTCCTCCCACAACACACCAAGGCAACAACTACATGTAATTTAACTCACTCTGAAAGTGACCTGAATACTGGCAGCACTGATCTTCCACAGCTAAAGACATAAAGAGAAGGCCACAGAGCAGGGTGGGAGGGGCAAGGACACGGTCAGGAATCAAACTTCCAGCATGGTGACCCCCAAACAGCAGGGATATCACAGGCATGGAGGAGCGAGGGGATCAAGCCCCACACTGGGCACTCCCAGCCCTGCGGATCTACGCCAGGAAGATAAGCCCCCACTGTCCGGCTTTGAACATCAGCAGGGCTTACCTCTGCGAGAGTCAGAGGGCTCCCGGGAACCAAGTCTGTGCTCTTCAAAAACCTGCATGACGTAGCTCTCATTCCAAGACAGAGGAGCAGCAGTTTGAAGGCAGCGGGGCCTGGGTGACACATGAAGGAGATTCACAGACTAATTTTAGGATGTGAAGGAGCGGGATCTGTAAGGACATTCTATGGGAAGGGAAGTGCTGGTGGCTGTCATTTCTCTTGCCCTCGTCCAGTCGAGCTGCCTCATGCTGTGGGAACCAGTTCTGACACCCTCCATCTACATTCCTAGCACCACCTACCCCCCCCCCCCCCCCCGCCCCAGACTTCCCCTGTGGACCTGCCCTAGCAGATGCCCCTCCAAACCAGCCCCCACCCTACCACACAGCAGGCGACACCGGACAGGATCAGCACTCCTCCAGAGTGACTCCCACCTTGGGGAAAAAGAGGGAGCCAGCCTGACCCACCAGCACAACCACAGCAGCTACAGCCGGGCCTCTCCACCAGCCCCGCCGGGGCAAGCCCTGTCCACCACACCCCTGTAGCGGTCACAGACAGTCATTGCAGACAGCCCTGTCCACCAGCACGCCTGCAGCAGTGGTAGCCTGGCCACAACAGGAGTGTGCAGTCCACACAGAAGACACCCCTGGAGTGCCAGGAGAGACTGTGTTACTGGGCACCACAGGGCGCCTTCTACATAAGGCCACCACTTTCAACACCAGGAGACATAGCTGACCCATCTCATACATAGATACACTGACTCAGACAAAATGAGGAGGCAGAGGAATATGTTCCAAACAAAAGAACAAGATAAAACCCCAGAAGAATTGCCAAATGAATGAAGATACACAATTTACCTGATAAAGAGTTCAAAGTAATGGTCACTGGATTTGAGAGAAGAGTAGATGAACTCAGTCAGAATTTCAACAAAGAAACAGAAAACATAAAAAGAACCGGTCAGAACTGAGATATGCAACAACTGAAATGAAAAATACAAGCAGATTAGAGGATACAGACTAGATCAGCAATCTAAAAGACAGGGTAATGGAAGGCAACCAAGCTGAACAGTAAAAACAAAAAAGAATTTTAAAAAATGAAGACAGTGTAAGCGACCTCTGGGACAAAGTGAACTTTACTAGCATTCACATTTTAGAGGTCCCATTAGGAGAAAAGAGAGAAAAGAGAACAGAAAATTTATTTGAAGAAACAAGAGCTTAAAACTTTCCTAACCTATGGAAGGAAAAAGTTACCCAGGCTGAGGAACCACAGAGCACCAAAAAGACCAACCTAGCCACAATAAGACACATAATAATTACAATGGCAAAAATTAAAGATAGTCGTCAAAGCAGCAAAGGGAAAGTAAACATTTAAGTTCTAAACATTTAAGTTCAAGGGAAAGCCCAGAAAGCTATCAGCTGATTTTTCAGCAGAAACCTTGCAGGCCAGGAGTGGCATGATGTATTCAAAGTGCTGAAAGGAAAAAACCTACAACCAAGAATACTCTACCCAGCAAGGTTATCGTTCAGAATTGGGGAGAGATAAGAAGTTTTCCAGAAAAACAAAAGTTAAAGTAATTTATCACCACTAATCCGACCTTACAAGAAATGCTAAAGGGGCTTCTTCCATCCAAGTACTAACCAGGCCCGACCCTGCTTAGCTTCCGAGATCAGACGAGATCGGGCGCGTTCAGGGTGGTATGGCCGTAGACTAAAGGGGCTTCTTTAAGTGGAAAAGAAAAAGCCATAACCAGAAGGAAGACAATCACGAAAGGAAAAAAACTTCTGGTAAAAGCAAGCTTACAGTAAAGGTGGTAGGTCAATCACTTACAAAGCTAATATGAAGATTAAAAGACAGAAAGAGCAAAATCAATTATATGTACAAAAATTGGTCAAGGGATATACAAAATAAAAAGGTTAAAGTGTGACATCAACACATAAAACATGGAGGTAGGAAGGATATTGTAGTGCTTTCAGAATGTGTTCAAACTTAGCTAAAGACTGCTGTATATATGGGATACTATATATGAACCTCATGGTAACTGCAAACCACGATACACGAAAAATAGAGGAAGGGTTCCAGGCATATGGGGAGTCATGATGGCAGAGAAGTGGGGGAACCAGGATTTTCCTCGTCCCTCAAACACAGCTGTATTGAGGTCAGATCACTTGGAACAGCCAGGAAATCCATGTGCGCAGTGGCAGAAGGATCTCCACAGGTGGAAGGAGAGAGCTTGGGAGGATCGAGGTGCATGTATGTGAAATTGGGGTAGATACAACAGCATAGGCATGGAGGGGAGGGGATCCTTTCTTTGGAGAGACAAAAGGAAGAAAAAGAGAGGCGGGGGGAGGCTGTGAAATTGTGGTATTGAGTTAGCACAAGGGGAAAACCTCTCTCCGGGTCACAGACTGGGGAACAAGAAATACAGAGTCAGTTCCTATTTTGCAAACAGCCTTAGGAGCTGAAACTCAGAGGTTTCGAAGTGTAAAGGGTCTCCAGAGTGAAGCCAGAACCATGTGCACTCCTGGGGAGGAGGGAGCCAACGGTGAGCACTGCAACAATCTCAGGGGCGCCCTGGGAGAGAACAGTCCCCTTCCTCAAGTACTTTAGGAAGAGGGTTTATTGCCCCCCCCCCCCCAAAGGACAAAAGACAAAAGACCCTGCAGGCGCCAGCCAGAGGCCCTTTGTCAGCAGGGCTGAGTGGTGCTACAGCAGAATGGGGTCTGTGTGGTGCAGGGTCCTTTAAGACATGGGGTTTTGAGACCCAGCCGAGTGCCTAGGAGGCGGGGGAGACCGTGGAGCAGGACGAGCCGGGGGGTCCATGCTACTCTGTGAGGGCTGCCTGAGCAGCGGGGTCTGAGACACCCCACCGGGGAGGGAGAGATCGGGGTGTCGCCATTTTTCTCCCCATCACCAACACCATGGGGCTTCAGGACGCAGGACAGCGCCTCCCCACCCCACCCCCTCCAGCGGGAGGCGGACCGCTTACACCAAGTCCCACCCCTCCGGGCCGGTAACTGATGTATCGGAGTGCGATGGACCCGGACCAGCCAGACGCACCGCCTCTCCTCTGGACCAGCACGACCACGGCCACCAGTCCCAGCACCAACAGACAGCTGTTTTTTGCTTTTGTCTTTTTCTTTTCTTTTCTTCTCTTTTTCCTCTACCCTTTTGTTTTTCTTTTGGAATTAGGCTTATAGTTTCTGACTTATACATATACATAAATTGTTTGATCGGGCATTTTTACTCTGTTCTTTTTACACCTTTTCTATCTCTTATTCCTCTTTATTTTCCTTTCCCCTTCTCTGGATTTAGCCTTTTGGTTTTTTTGTTTTGTTTTGTTTGTTTGTTTTTATCTGTCTGGTTCTTCTTTTCTGCCCTTTCATTTTTGTCTTTTTATGGGATCAGGCTTCCCCCCTCCCGTTTTTCCTTTTTTCCAGGGTTACTTCAACAAACAAATCAAAGCACACCTGGTTGAAGGTCCAAACGCTCCACCACTACACGCAAGGAGGAGCTCAGCAGAGCACTGACCAGTGAGACAAAGCAGCCAAAATGCAACAACAGGACGCATACAGGATGCACCAAAAACACTTCCTGAAGTGCCAGGCCCTGGAGTGTACCCCTTTTGATACAGTAGTACTCGCAGGTGCAGCTATTAAAACATACAAAAGACAGAAACGGCCAAAATGACAAAAGAGAAGAATTCTCCTCAAGAGAAAATTCAGGAAGATATCACAGAGAATTGCTCAAAACATACAAACAATATATATGAACAAGAATTTAGAGTAACAGCCATTAGACTAATAGCTGGGCTTGAAAAAGCATAGAGGACAGCAGAGAATCTCTTGCTGCAGAGATCAAAGACCTAAGAACTAGTTTTTATTTATTTATTCTTATTTATTGCGATAAATAAGAAATGCTATAAATGGGGGCATCTGGATGGCTGAGTCAGTTAAGCATCTGACTTCAGCTCAGGTCATGATCTCACAGTGCATGAGTTTGAGACCCACATCAGGCTCTGTGCTGACAGTTGCAGAGCCTGCTTGGGATTCTCTCTCTCCCTCTCACTCTGCCCCTCCCCCTTCTCGAAAATAAACAAACATTTAAAGAAATGCTATAAATGAGAATCAAAATAAACTAGATACAGTGACAGCAAGGATGGAAGAAGCAGAGGAGAGAATAGATGGAATAAAAGATAAATTATGGAAAATGATGAAGCTGAAAAAAAGAGGGAAAGGAAATTACTAGATCACAAGGGGAGAATTAGAGAGCTAAATGATTCCAAGAAACGAAACAAAATAAACAAAAACAAGGTCAACACCACGAAATGGCAAAATATCACAGTGAAATGGCAAAATACAAAGATAAAGAGAGAACTCTGAAAGCAGCTCGGGACAAACGGGCCTTAACCTACAAGGGGAGACACATAACGGTAGTAGCAGACCTGTCCACTGAAACTTGGCAGGCCAGAAGGGAGTAGCAGGAAATATTCAATGGCTGAATATGCAGCCAAGAATCCTTTATCCAGCAAGGCTGTCATTCAGAATAGAAGGAGGGATAAAGGCTTTTCCAGACAAACAAAAGCTGAAGGAGTTCATCAACACTAAACCAGCGCTGCAGGAGATCCTAAGGGAGACTCTGTGAGTGGAAAGCAACAAAGACTACAAAGGATCAGAGACATCACCACAAACATGAAATCTACAGATAACATAATGGCACTAAATCCATATCTTTCAATAATCACTCTGAATGTAAATGGACTAAATGACCCAACCAAAAGACATACAGTATCAGAATGGATACAAAAACAAGATCCATGGATATGCTGCCCACAAGACACTCATTTTAGACCTGAGGACACATGCAGATTGAAAGTGAGGGGATGGAGAACCATCTATCATGCTAATGGATGTCAAAAGAAAGCCAGAGTAGCCATACTTATATCAAACTAGATTTTAAAACAAAGACTGTAACAAGAGATGAAGAAGGGCATTATATCATAATTAAGGAGTCTATCCATCAAGAAGAGCTAACAATTGTAAATGTTTATTGCCCCCAATGTGAAAGCACCCAAACATATAAGTCAATTAGTCACAAACATAAATGACCTTATTGATAATGATACCGTAATTGTAGGTGACTTTACTACTCCACTTACAACAATGGACAGATCCTCTAGGCAGAAAATCAATAAGGGAACAACAGCTCTGAATGACATATGGGACCAGATGGACTTATGAAGATATATTCCAAACATTTCATACTAAAGCAATAGAATATACATTCTTCTTGAGTGCACATGAAACATTCTCCAAAACAGATCACATACTGGGTCACAAAGCATCCCTCAACAAGTACAAAAAGACTGACATACCACGCATATTTTCAGATCACAGTGCTAGGAAACTTGAAATCAACCACAAGAAAAAACTTGGGAAGCCCCCAAATACATGGGAGGTTAAAGAACATCCTACTAAAGAATGAATGGGTCAACCAGAAATTAAAGAAGAAATTTAAAAATACATGGAAGCAAATGAAAATGAAAACATGACAGTCTAAACCCTTTGGGATGCAGTAAAGGCAGTCCTAAGAGGAAAATACATTGCAATTCAGGTCTATCTCAAGAAGCAAGAAAGGTCCCAAATACACAACCTAACCTTACACCTAAAGGAGCTAGAAAAGCAGCAGCAAATAAAGCCCAAAGCCAGCAGAAGAGAAATAATAAAGATTAGAGCAGAAATAAACAATATAGAATAAAAAAAAAAAAAAAAAAAAAAAAAAAAAAAAAAAAAACAGAACAATGACTCTAGGAGCTGGGTTTTTTTGAAATAAACAAAATTGATAAACCCCTAGCCAGACTTCTCAAAAAGAGAGAGGATCCAAATCGATAAAATCACAAATGAAAGAGGAGAGATGACAACCAACATCACAGAAATACAATTATCAGAGAATACTATCAAAATTACATGCCAACAAACTGGACAATCTGGAAGAAATGGACAAATTCCTAGACACTCACACACTACCAAAACTCAAATGGGAAGCAACAGAAAATTTCAATAGACCCAGAACCAGCAAAGAAATTGAATCAGTTTTCAAAAAATCTCCCAACAAAGAAGAGTCCTGGGCCAGATGGCTTCCCAGGGGAATTCTACCAGACATTTAAAGCAGAGTTAATACCTATTTTTCTCAAACTGTTCCAAAAATTAGAAACAGAAGGAAAGCTTTCAGACTTATTCTTTGAAGTCAGCATTCCCTTGATTCCAAAACCAGACAAAGGTTCCACTAAAAAGGAGAATTACAGGGGTGCGTGGGTGGCTCAGTTGGTTAGGCGTCTGACTTCGGCTTGGGTCAGGATCTCATGGTTCATGGGTTCATGCCCCATGTTGGGCTCTGTGCTGACAGCTCAAAGCCTAGAGCCTGCTTTGGATTCTGTTTCCCTCTCTCTCTGTCCCTCCCTGGGGGGGAGGCACTCACACCCTCTCTGTCACTCTCTCAAAAATAAACATTAAAAAAATTTTTTTAAGGAGAATTACAGGCCAATATCTCTAATGAATGTGGATGCAAAAAATCTCAAGATACTAGCAAATCAAATTCAACAGTACATTAAAAGAATTATTCACCATGATCAAGTGGGATTCATTCCTGGGCTGTAGGGCTGGTTCAATATTTGCAAATCAACCAATGTGATACATCACATTAATAGAAGAAAGGATAAGAACCATATGATCCTATCAACAGATGAAGAAAAAACATTTGACAAAACACGGCATCCTTTCTTAATAAAAACCCTCAAGAAAGTCAGGATAGAAGGAACATACCTTAACATCATAAAAGTCATATATGAAAGGCCCAGAGCTAATATCATCCTCAAAGGGGAAAAACAGAGCTTTCCCCGAGATGAGGAACACGGCAGGGATGTCCACTCTCACCACTGCTGTTTAACATTGTATTATAGGTCTTAACCTCAACAATCAGACAACAAAACTAAATAAAAGGCGTCCAGATTGGCAAAGAAGTCAAACTGTCACTCTTTGTAGATGATAGTGGAAAACCCAAAAGACTCCACCAAAAAAACTGCTGGAGTTGATACAGGAATTCAGCAAAGTCACAGGATACAAAATCAATGTACAGAAATCAGTTGCGTTTCTATACACCAATAATGAAGCAACAAAAAGAGATATCAGGGGATTGATCCCATTTACAACTGCACCAAAAACTATAAAATACCTAGGAATAAACCTAACCAAAGAGGTAAAAAAATCTGTATGCTAAAAACAATAGAAAGCTCATGAAAGAAATTGAAGAAGACACAAAGACATGGAAAAACATTCCATGCTCATGGATTGGAAGAACAAATATTGTGAAAATGTCGACACTACCCAAAGCAATCTACACATTCAATGCAATCCCTATCAAAATAGTACCAACATTCTTCTCAGAGCTAGAACAAACAATCCTAAAATTTGTGCGGAACCACAAAAGACCCCAAATAGCCAAAGTCATGCTGAAAAAGAAAACCAAAGCTGGAGGCATCACAATCCTCCTACAGACTTCAAGTCATATTACAAAGCTATAATCATCAAGACGGTATGGTACTGGCACAAAAACAGACACATAGATTGATGGAATAGAGAACCCAGAAATGGACCCACAAATATACGGCCAACCTAATCTTCAACAAAGCAGGAAAGAGCATCCAATAGAAAAAACGGAGTCTCGGGGCGCCTGGGTGGCGCAGTCGGTTGAGCGTCCGACTTCAGCCAGGTCACGATCTCGCGGTCCGTGAGTTCGAGCCCCGCGTCGGGCTCTGGGCTGATGGGTCAGAGCCTGGAGCCTGTTTCCGATTCTGTGTCTCCCTCTCTCTCTGCCCCTCCCCTGTTCATGCTCTGTCTCTCTCTGTCCCAAAAATAAATAAACGTTGAAAAAAAAAATTTTTTAAAAATAAAAGAAAAAACAGAGTCTCTTTAGCAAATGGTGCTGGGAGAACTGGACAACCATACGCAGAATGAAACTGGACCACTTTCTTACACCATACATAAAAATAAATTCAAAATGAATGAAAGACCTAAATGTAAGATAGGAAACCATCAAAATCCTACAGGAGAAACCAGGCAGCAACCTCTTGATGCAACAATTTCTTACTCAACAAGTCTCCAGAGGCAAGAAAAACAAAAACAAAAATGAACTACTGGGACCTTCTAAAAAGCTTCTGCACAGCAAAGGAAAGAATCAATAAAACTAAAAGGTAACCAATGGAATGGGAGAAGATACTTGCAAATGACATATCTGATAAAGGGTTCATATCTAAAATCTACAAAGAACTTAACAAACTCAACACCCAAAAACAAATAATCCAGTGAAGAAATGGGCAGAAGACACGAAGAGACACTTTTCCAAAGAAGATGTACAGATGGCAAACAGACACATGAAAAGATGCTCAACTCACTCATCATCAGGGAAATACAAATCAAAACCACAATGAGATACCACCCCACAACTGTCAGAATGGCTAAAATTAACAACTCAGGAAATAACAGTTGTCGGTGAGGATGTGGAGAAAGAGGAACCCTACTGCACAGCTGGTGGGAATGCAAACTGGTACAGCCACCCTGGAAAACAGTGTGGAGGTTCCTCAAAAAATTAAAAATA